TTTATGGTCAAGCGGCAAAAAAGTAATGGAAATGGAAATGGTTGAACACAAAAAAAAACAAAAAAAAGAAGTAAATCGAAAAAAACCATCATTGACAAAATTTTGTGTCGACACTTTAATCCTTTAAGTGTTAACACTCACTGACATGCGCTGTTGACACACATACTCACAAACCAGTACAGCGCATTAGCGGTGAGGAGCAGTGATGTTGTCTAAAATGCCCCAAAGCTGTGCGCTTAACTGTATTTTGTTACAAGTACACAAGTGTAGATGACACTATATGCTCACAAACACACATACATACATACACTTGTGGGAATAATCAAATTATAAAAATCAGTGCTAGTAACATTTTAGCAATAGCTTTTGCTCACAGCAAAAATAAACAGAGCAGACCTTGTAGAGAAAGGGTGATATATTCTTTGCATGGTTTCGAAAGTGAGTGAGGAGATTCAAAGTTCGCGTGGGATCGAATTTTTTAAAAGAAAGTATACTTTTTACTCGGAAGAAATAAAAAAAAATTATACTGAATATGAATACGAATTGAAAAAACCACTTGTTTTTTTCAAACTTTCTTCTCATCAAATATTTTAAAGAAATTTTTTTGCTTATATCGTCAATTATGAATATGAATATATAAAATATATTTTAATATATATAATTTGAAAGAGAATTTTTCTTTATTACGTTTTTGAAAAATGTTGAAGATATTTTTTTTATATTTAATTTCTTCTCAAATTTTCATGAAACTATTTCCATTATTAAATTTTTTAAGTATCTTTTTTTAGTTTTTCTAAAATTCTGGCAGCGCTGCTCCGACGTGCTAGTTTATTCTGTGCTTCTTATTTCTAAATAACTTTATAAATATTTCTTCCGCCTATGTTTTTTTTACAAAAGCTGCAAATAAATAATCTTTAAAGAATAGTTTTTATTAAGAAAAAAATATTTTTTTGCTTATTTTTAAATTATTGTTTTATTATTAATATTTTTTCCAACGATATCATTATATCCGTTTTTTAATTTTTTCTAAAAGTTTTCTAATTTTGTCATATTCAACTTATATTTCAAATATAGGATTTTTAAAGTTTTTAGTATTTGTTTAAATATTTCTTTGTCATATAGTTTTCAATAATTCTGTTTTTCAATAATGTTCTCGTTCTAATCTTTTATTCTTTTTTTATTTAAGAAATCCAGAAGCAACTTTTTTTTGATATAATTCGCTAACTTCAAAATTTTGTAAAAGTAATTTTGTTTAAATTTTTTTTCGGCAATTGTTTTTTGGCCAAATTATTTTTTTTAAATATTTTTATATTTCTTTTTAAATCTATCAACTGTTAAATTTCCTAGAGGGCCGTGCTAATACCCCAAACACCGGTGCTTGCATATATTCATTTAGATTGTCGACACGTTGCAGCGTGTTGGCAGTTAAAACACACGCAAGCACACCTATTAATCCGTTACAATATATAAAAGCCAAAACAACAAAAATAACACTAAAGCACCACATACAAGCTTCGCTTGACTTTATCCGCATTTGTTGTTATCTCACGAGTTGTTGTTATCTCGCGAGTTGTTGTCACATGGTTGTATCAGGCACAAACTTACATACTGCTTGTGCTGGGGAGTTTATTTTTGTTGTGCGTGCTTTTATGAATTTATTTTGCGCCTAAATTGTTGTTTTTGTGCTCTTCCATATATATTTTGAAAGAAGAATATTCAAAAGGATTCAACAAAGGATGAGGGTTTTTGTTAGAAAATTGGAAAATAACTACAATTGCCGATCCTTGGGATAGGTATCGTGTAACAGTGGAATCCAGAGAGGGTCACCTGCAGAAGAAGTCTAGTTTAAAAGTCAATACATCGTTTTATCGAAATTGGGCATGTCCAAGATCACTTTTTGAATAAATATGCGTACCTATTTCATAATCGACCCGACTGCAAACGGAATGAGTAGTTTCCCAACCACTTCGATTTCAACTATTTTTATCTTTATTACTCATTTACAAACATAGTTTTGAGATAAAATAAATGGTATACACGGAAATACGCACATATTTTACATATTATTGCCTACATTTAGGAGCATAGTTTATTAATACTGACACACTCTATCAAAGTCACACACCTCATTTATAAGATTGAGTGAATTGAATACCTATAATGCAGACACATGAGTTGATTGGAGAATATTCTTAAAAAAAAATATATTATTTATCACATACCCACCTTTTTTGAGTTCCGATTGTCGTTGTCAAATATTTACACGCAGGTTTTTAACCACGATGTTGAAACTGTTCAAAAAAATAGTGAATAGCGCTTCAAAAATGACTCGAATTCGAAGAATCACGTCAAGGTAGACCAAAGTCTATTAAGAATTATACTTAGTGATTTTGAGTCGTCTACATGAAGCAATTCATTGTAAACGATCGAAGGGAAGAAAATGCATGCAATTTGCACCACGCGCTGTCATTTCCACAGCCCGCATATTTATGTTTCTATGACTTTTCTTTTTTCGTAAATGAAAAATTCGCTTCGGGGAACTCGCCATGAGTCTATTGAAGCCATTAAAAGTCAATTTCTGAAGCCACTGAAGTCCATCCCAGCCGAGTGACAATTCATTTACGATTTACAAATTTTAATTTTCCTTTCTAGAGAAATGGTGCGAAACTCAAAACAAATCTCTTCGAAAACTGAATTTACTACATTTGTGGAAAGCCTTAGTCAGGTGTAAGCCAATTTGGGAAACGTAAACCTAGTTGAAGTAACAGTTTTCGAAATTAGTTATTTTGTAGTTTTTGAAAAGCAATATCTTAAAGATTTACAGAGCTAAGATATTTAAGAAATATATCATGAGAAATTGTGTATTCGTATGGTCTTAGAAACGTGAGATCCACTTTAATTAATATTAATATCTGATTATTCAATCAATTTTATTATATATTTTTTCATTCCAAAACAATATTCGTTCTAAAAAACAAATCGAATCCAAAACCAATCTGGTTTCAAGTAATTTTTTTTTGAAATTGTAATTGTAAATAGAATTTTAAGTTGGACTAACATAAATTTATTAAATTCGAAGCATTTTAAAAAATTCAAAAAAATATATGATACATTTAAAATAGGATTCTAAGAATAGAATGAAATCCCTACTGGTAACTTGGTATTCCTGTGGCTAGGGCTGAATACTTTAACAGACTTTTGCATAGAAAAATTTCCATAAGTATTTGATTTAGCACGAGAGACATTTCGAAACCTGAAAATAAGCAAACGCAAGCCAAAATGTGCTGCGAATGCTTTCAATGAATTATAACAGTAAAGTTATACTTTTTGTTAAACACCCGCTATGCGATGGTTCCAAAATAATTGTGGCTTAGGACATGAACGTTTTCTATTCCATGCGCCAGCACATATTTTGTTTGAGCATAGGCTCAAGGGCTGTCATCTACTCATTTCCTTTTTTCCACTTTTATCTATAATTTCCATCTCGAGTGCGCTCACTTCACACAATCTCCGTATAAGCTATTCCGTGTTGTGTGCCTCCACCCTCTATCAACCGATTACGGCAGGTTTTGTAACATTGCCTAGGTAACGGTATAACTGTATGGGTCGTTTCAGCTGCTGGGCGGAGCAGGTCGACATTTAACTGTATTGTATATATATATTTATAAGTTTGAATCGAATACTTTTTCGTTCATCCTTTGTTAACATTGATTTGCTCGTTGTGTTCTCTTTTCACTGCGCAGTTCGTCTTACACTATTTTCATTCTATTTATTTACGTTAGTTTTTATTTTGTCGAGCTGTTTTTCTTTATACAGATTTAGTTGCCAGCATTCGATCATTTGAAACGTATCAGCAATCTTATTACCAACCTATTCTGTCTCTTTTCGATAAAAAAAAGAGCGAAAATTATTGGCAGCGGGCAGCTGGCGACTCAAGTAGCAAAGCGAGTGAGTTTGTCATTGTTTTCTATGGAGTGGAAATCTGTACGTTTGCTTTGTATTTCAGCAGAGTTGCCACACTTTCAGTGTTTCGAGTTGATATAATCTTTTGTGTTTTTAAAGTTTTCTTTAAATCACATCAATTACCAGTAGATATAATAACTTTTATCTATAAAAAAGTTTTAAAGGAAACGAATTTTTTTGCAACAGATATTTAGCTAGGACATATACCTTCTACAGTAAGAGGTATGCACCTTCGCTTTATATGAATTTGAGCTTAATTGTAGGCAACCTGCGTTGAAAATTATTGTATTACTGTTTTTTGAAAGTGAAACTGAAACGTAGCCTACATTTAGGCTGAAATAGTGTAGGTTTTGTAAAACTTGAAACTTATGTAAAGCGAAAAATTAGATAATACACAAATAACATTTTATTTAAATTTAATAACTGGAACTGCTCTTTAAAATTTTCTAACGATTTTTTATTTTTAAAAATATTTCCTAATTTTAATTATATTTTGTGGCAACTCTGCTGCAGTTACACAAGCTGCTTTGCTTTGAATGCGTGGCATTAGCAGATTACAAGTAAACGTAAACAAGAAAAAATTTCGTAATTTCTCTTATTTTCTTGTTTGAAATGAAAATAAAGCTTTGAAGTCTCATTCCGCATCACGCTAACGCATTGATAGGCACTTTGTTATCTATATTCGAGAAAAAGGAAGTAGACGAAAGTTTTTTGAAATTTATATTTCATTTTCAAAGGCGAAATACATTGTATGTATTGTAGTATTACATGTTGAAAATAACTTACTAAAATTAAAAATGGATATTTCAAATAATTTTTGAGTTTTAGCATTGTAAAGTGTATTCGCTGAGTTTAGCAGTTTTTTTTTAATTCCTAAAATTCGAATTTCTTAGGTTGCCACACTAGGTGTGACCCTTAAACTGATTTCTTCAAACAGTACTGGAGTATACGAAGAAGAAGATTTGGGTTAATATTTGCTGAAAAACTACGTATACATTTTTTTGTAAATATATTTAATTTTTTTTAGATCTACTTACCCTAGAACTAACGAACTTTATGCGGCCTCTGCTTGCATAGTATTTGTTGTAGTGATGAACAGCTGTAGATATATATTACGTATACGACATGTTGACTTTTTTAGAGAAATTCTGCGGCAGTTTTGTTAATTACAAGTACGCGACTGTTGATCTTTTTCACTTTGCTCACAACTATTGAATTCTTCGCACTTTTTATTTAATATTTATTATTATTTAATAACTTATTAAATATTTCGTAATAATTAAATATATATTTTTTTTACTGCTTGCAATAAATTTTTATGTGTGCTATTAATTATTATTCATAATTTTCACCTCAAAACTGCGGAGCTGCAAAAAAAAAAGAGAAAGAAAAAAATAACACTTATCAGTTATAAGCCATAAATGCTGATGAAATAACATGCATATTATATAACTTTTTGTTTTTGTAAAATTTTCGCACACACACGCCAAAACAAGCAGCAAAAAACCACAGCTTTTCTAAGTGTACACACGCACTGTTTGTGCACACAAACACGCCCCTTTTTGTTGTCCGCTTTGTGTGTAAACAATGTGCACGCTTGTGTTTGCTTACGCAGCGCCAAATTATCGATGGTTGGCGTTAGTTACACATTGCCGGAAGGATGAGCACAATTTTAGGCGCCTAATGACCGCAATATTGACTTGTGTGTGAGCGTGCAATGAGCAGGCACATAAAAATAACAAATTAAACAATGGAAAATACACACTGATAAAAGGCTAACAATAGGTATATTTTACTATATACAAGTACTTGTAATATACTGAGTGATATCTGCTGTTGGAATAGAAGTCCATAAAGTCCATAAAACAGCAGCTTTTGAAATAAATCACTTTTAACAAATAATGATGGTGATTTTGAGGTCAATTATAACAAATATTTACAGTTTTTCCAGGTCATCAAATCAGTGGAAATAATATATTAGAATTCAAATGAAAATTCAAATCACTTAAGCCAGGCTTTGACCGTTTGTTTCTGTGTGTCCGTTGAATGTGTGTGCTTGGATATATAGTATATATAATTTTGCATTTCAGATATTGTTATTAAGGATTTTATACATATATATATTCGTGTTTTACTCATTTAGTTTTGGGATCATATTTCTAATTAACTGAGCGATTTTGCAGAGACCAGAACAAGTAATAGTGCGAAGTTGGCAAATCTGGAGAATATGACGGGTATGGTAACACATTCAACTGCAGCTGCAAAAGCTTTTCGTGAGTCATCAAACTTGTATGAGGTTACGCACTATGCTTATGGAACAATATAACATTTTTCCAAATTTCGTTCTGTAAGAACATGAGAAACCCATATGTCAAGCTTCGAAATTAATCTTAGACGTTTTATGTGCTTGCAAACGGTCGTGTTAGACAAATTTAATTAGTCAAGTCAATCTCTCGAGTTGTTTCAAGGTGCCTTTCAGAGCATGGTGTATCCTTAAGATTGACATTGCTGGAACGAAATTTTGCAAACTAATTTTGACATTAGCACTCGGTCAACTCATCTTCTCCGTATACATGAAATAATTTTCGTCTTGCTTGGACTGCATTTTTACCTTTTTGATAGTAAAACAGTGAAATATGCCGAAAATGCTATTTTCGATCTTCCATCTTCCAAACAAAAACTATTCCAAAAAATTGTGGAAAATACTTCACAAACAAGCTGTTCAATATATAACGGTCAAGCGGTTAAGTATGAAGTTGGCTGCGAAAAAATTTTATATGATCAGCTTTTGTCATCAAACGAAATTACTTAGTGAAAGGCGCGATATATTTGAATGCTGACTTGATGCTGTCAAACCTAACCTAATACATATATTCTGAAGAAGCACATATTTCCCTGGGATATTTTCCGGAAAATTCTTAATAAACAAGTAAGGAAGAATTAGATATGGATATAGCTGAATATTTTATACTCTCGCAATTTGATCGCAACGATTCAAAACGTAACGACTAGACATTCATAACCGATAACATTATATGTCGTATATGGGAGCTGGGGTTATTCACACATTTTTGGCATTAAGCTATATAATATATATTATATGTTCACTTAATTTTGTTAAGATTTCTTACATATTGAACGATATCCCGAAGACCGAGAGACAGGTTAAGGTTACGTTTATACCGAAGGCCGGTAAAAGCTCTCACGTCAGTGCAAAGGATTTCAGACCCTTTAGCCTTTCCTCGTTTCTGTTGAAAACGTTAGAAAGACCTATGAATCTGTACATTAGGAGTATAATACCGCAGAGTAAACAGTTACGAGCTTAGCATGCCTAAATCAAAGGCAGAGTAAACAGTTAGCTTAGCATGCCTAAATCGAAGGCAGGTCGGTCGACACTGCTTTGCATGGTGTAGTGGCATGGCTGAAAATAGCTCTTATGCACAAGCACTTTGCTATGGTCATCTTTCTGGACATCGTGGGGACCTTCAACAACGTGCGGCCAGAGACAGTAGTTAAAGCACTCGAAAAGTTTGAGGTGGAATCGAACTTCCAGCAGCTCATATTAAGTCTTCTCTGCGACAGAACTGTCGTAGCGGAGTAGTGCTCCCCAAGGCTTTTTTTTTACTGTAAGAGAAGGAAATATTTTAAACCAATTTACAGTAATGTATCTTATTATAGAGCTTAGACTTTCGATTAACGGGAATTTGTGGGCACTTCCGTCCATTCGGTGCCACGTCACGCTCAAATTTTATCAAAATATCTTAATTTTTACTCAAGTTATCGGTTGCATGGACAGACGGACAGAAAAGTGCTTATGCACTTTAACAAAGTATTCATAAAAAAAATAATGTTTATTATATTATATTCGCGTTCCCCAAAATATATATTTATATGAGCAAAAATTATAATAAGTTAATGAGTCACATTTAATCAAATTATACTTTAAAATACAATCGCGCATGAAAACTGCATTCTTTGCTATACCAAAATTTGTTGTTGTTTCACATCAATAATATTTTTCACGCATATGTCAAGCGCACTTTCCTTTTGTAGCCTTTGTCTAACGAAAATTATTAAATCTTTTATTTTTCTCCCAGCCAATATGGCGCAAGTGACGCCTTTGTGCAGCCTCGTTAATTTGTTTTCTGTTTTTTTTTTGTTTTGTTTTAGTGACACTCTGATTAAGCTACAAATAACGATTTGTTCCAGCCTATTTAACTGCAATGACCTTGGGCACCTCAACACACTCACACACAACAAAAAAAAATAGATATATTTATAAACACATATGCGCGCACATATCGGCAAGGTGCCACGCCTTGCAAGCTTGTAATATAGCCACCAATAGTTTTTGTTTTAATAAATATTTTTTTAAGTTGAAAATTCAGCGTTACGAAATCTATTTTTACAAAATTTTTCAAAATACCTATAATAAATAAACAAATATTAATATAATTAAAAAAAAATTATAATATTTTTTTAAATTTTTTTGTGTTTTTTTTCAAATTTTTTTTTTAATGCTTATTATGCATTTTTATAAACTTTTTTTAATCTGTGTTTTATTTTTTTAATTTTCTTAGTATTACAAATTATTTTTTTTGTTGCTCTCTCACACATTTTCTAATAAAAATTTTCTACACATTCCGTAAATTACCTTGCAAAGCTTAAATTTTCAAATTTCAACTGCCGCACTTGGTTTCCATCGACACTCATTTGGCAGTTAAAGCATTTACTGTTATACAGCGCGAACACACAAACCGTTAGACACGCTTAAAATAATTTTAAATTTATTTATTTATTTGTTTTCGAATTTCACAAATATTTTTCGCATTTCCGCACACTTTTGCTGTCTTCCTGTGATATTTTGTCGCTTTCTAGTATTTCCGTTATACACAAATAAATATCGTAACAGTTTTATTGTTTTTGTTTTTGTTTTTTATTTCATTATTCTTATCCACACTAAAAACATCCGCGCGGGGAGGAGCGCGCTTACTTTTGGTCAACCAAATTCGTTATATCGAGATCCACTGTCAGCTCCCGTGCGAAGTCAAACTACAACTGCCACATGCCATACATCTCGGCGATGCTCAGCCACATGGTTGCCGCGATTCAGCGCCAACAACTTGCATCCATTGCTATGACAAAGCGTATACGGCCAGCAACACAATGGCTGTAGTAGTAAACACAACAACAACAAAAACCTGTAGGAAAATCATCAAGAAGAAGCAATAACAAAAACAATAGTAGCAACAACAACAACATCAATGAGTAACTTACAGCAAAGCATGGCCACGGCCTTACTTCTTTGGCGTGCGCGACTCTCCTCAAGCGTGTTACAGTGCTGGCCCTCGGTAAATCCCCCTCACCCCACCCCTTCTCCATATATGAAAGGTCTGTGCGCCCGCTCTCGCTTTGTGCTATCACTTAGTGCATAGTAGTATGCTTTGAGGCGGTAATATGCTGCGCTGGTCGCCATTGTTAACACATATACCCTCACACATATACAAACACACATTCAGATAAAAATATCCCGTCCAAACTCAATGGCAAGAGAGCTTGTGGAAATGTTGCAAACCTAAATTTAGTCGACAATGAGCAATGTATCAAAAAAAAAAAAAAAGGCAAAAATACAAATAACAACAACAACGCTAACGGTAATAGCAACTGTAACGCTTCAGCCTCGTATATCCCTTTAGGATGCTTAGCTGAGCGAAAATCCTCGCTGGCGCTCGCAACGCGCGCTGTGCCAGCAACCTTGTGCTTTTACGATTTCTCAGTTAGTCTTCTTGTGTATGCACACAAACAAAAATACAGCTATATAGTTGTAAGCATGTACAATATATATGTAAGTAGCTATTACTTTTGTTGTTATTACGATTTCCTTAGTCTCCTTTGTGTTGCCAGTTTTATTTTGCCGCCTTTTATTATGGTTATTGTACACACATACATATCGCACATACATACATAGATAGATACAGACCTATACACACATACACATGTGAAGACTTGTTTATGTATGTAGGTGTGTGCAAAGGCTTCTGCGTTGCCATAGTTTATTGGCATCTCTGGCGCGCTATTTGTACTGCCAACTGGATTCGATTGCACGTGACTTTATTAAGCTTCCTTATCACTAGTCGTTAGCTGTGCTCGAAATTGGTGAGCAATTGATACTGAGAGTATTTGTGAATTTTGAGCGTTGTAACGGACATGCGCACAATGGGAAATATTTTAAATGTTGGATGAGCGTTGATAAGAAAAAATTGATTTATGTTGCCGCAACATGTTGCATTATATCATAAATGTTGCTCAACTTTAAAAATGTTGCACAACTTTAGAAAAGTTGCACAACTTTATAAATATTGTTTTTACACCATAGTTCAAGTTTGTGTTTACGCTTTGAATGAGAGCAAAGCTCCTGATTTTCGCACTATAGGTGTGTCTTCGAATCGCAAATAGAAACATAATTAAACTATCGCAACATGTTGCACAAGAGAATATTTTTATTTAACGGTTGTTTAGATTTAAAAAAAAATAATAAGAAAGAAATCAGTAAATATGTATAAATTAAAACGTATAATAAACAGACCCACCTACCATATAACAACTACTGCAAGATCGATAATCCTCCAAAGAATACTGTTAGGCACATTGAATTCATTACTAAGGAGGATGCAGATAGCAATCGATATCTCAACCAAACTTTTTGAAAAGAAGTCTTTCTAGCATCTTTTCATACTTGTATAGTGTAAAAATGCGTGAAATCGGATAATAACTACCTCCACGCCCCATTTAACGGTGATATTGGAAATAATTAATATTGCAATAACTCAATAAGTAAAGAGCCGGTATCAAAATTGGACAATGGACCGGACATCATCCATCTTTATTTGAAATCCTATAAATTAGAATTTTATCGCCGAAATTTGGTGCCTAACATTTCTGTTTGTATCCATATCACATTGTAAAAATGAGCGAAACCGGACGACAATCACGCCTATTTCTCATATCTTATAATTTTCAATTTAATAGGTCCTTGCGAGTCTGTTAACTTAATGAAACTCAGCGAGCATCTTTTTCTTGTAATTGTATGTTATAATGCTTAAAATGGATAAGATCAGTTAGATCGGTTCAATAATATTACCCTTACCACCCATATGGCTAATAAAATAATTTCTAACTTCCGGCAGTCTTCATACCGTATCGGTTCACGAATTTCTCCAGCTTCCATATACATACTACCTGTTATTCAGTATGTAACGCATATACTTTTTTTTTATCAAACTGCATAGAAACAATTGCATAGCACTGTGGCTGAGTTAATCCACGTCGAAAGTTGTAAAGAATTATCACGCGAAAATGTTCCCGATTTATTTCCATTTTTAGGTCGAAATGAATATTTTAAGTTACTGTAAATTACATCAATATAACATCAAAATTAACAAACTTTACGACAAAGTTTTGAGTTGTTAGATTGCAACACTGCCAATTTGTACTAATAAAATAATTGTAGTTATCGGTTTTGTCTTTTGGTCAACTATATGCATGATTTTGTAGATATATTCTGTGAATATGAATATATAAAACATATATGTTCAGAACTGCTGTTACTGCTTATTAATACTATTTTCTTTATACACACATCTAAATCCTTTTCTCTCAACATTCTCTCTCTTTTAATTCATCAACACATCCATGCATATGGTACATCACTTAATTACAGATAATTGGAGATATTGACGTAAACACTTCAACTAACAATACGTGGAACAAATACTTGTACCGCACACTGATGTATATATACACGTTCGTTCATGGGTTCATTAATCCAGATTGACCTCCATCCACCTATAAACATTTCTTGGTCATTACATTTAATGCCGTTTATATCAGCGATAATAATTTAATAGTTTACTTAATCAAGAGCCCGGGATCAGCGCGTATGGCGTATGAGATTTAGATTTTGTTCTACTCGTAATTTTATTACATATTTTATTGTCTCATTTACTTGCCTTTGCAAAATTTTACGCAACATTAAATAAATAAATCAGGGTTCTTCGTTATTCGGCATATCATTACTAATAGCAGAGAGTCTATACTGAAAGTATTTTTCGTATCCTTGAAAATTTTAAAAATTCCATATTTTATATAGATTAATATAACCGTTAAAAGACAGGTGCCTAATATTAACATCTGTTCAATATTTGAGTATTTTAATTAATTTTGAAAAAAATATTTATTAAAAAAAGAATTTAAGAGCCTTGCCTAATGGTGCAGGCGTAGTAATAATTCATAAATGGCTTACCAAAAAACGTGGAGGCATAAAACATATATCTAAACATTTTAAATTAATAGAGTTTTTGGGTATAACTGATTTCCACGTTTAATTCTTATACCAAGCAGTTACAGTAACCGGAATTCTCAACTCAACTGATCATATTCTGAAATTTTTGCGGCTGAGAGTACCTCTATTCATATCTCCTCTATAAAAGCGTGTCTTTAATGTTTTGAAACTGAGTATATCTTAAGATTTAATCTCTGTGTCTCTGGCATCAAAAAGTGTTTTATACTTTACGTATATTATTTCATCAGTTAAAATCTATAGAAATATTCTCAAATCTGTCTCTAAAAAAAAATTTACATGTTTTGATTTAAGTTTCAAATTTGTGATCTTATAAATTATAAAATTTGGCAACTTGTTCAGATAGCATGTAAAAATAAATGGAATTTCTCTCTTTCAACCTTAATTAAACAGGTACTATAGTGTATAAATAAATTTTATATTGATATCTAATAGACAAATCTTCAGAATGGCATTATTCAAGATGGCCTCTACGCATGATTCTAGGAACTAGTTCTATCTGTAGCAACATAAAATATGAAATCTTAATCTACATAAGATTTGCCAGTAAAGTGCGTATGTTTTTACATCTACATAAATTTTGGACTTGTAAATAAAAGAATAAATTTTGAACCAAACCATTGAAAAAAAAATCGAATATTTAATAGATAGTGTTACTGTAAAGCCATAGTTGAATCTCCGAATCCTGTCGTCAACTGATTTGAAAACTGACTCGAACAGTTCGACAACACAGCGAGTTGGACAGAGAAAAACATAATTTTTTAGCGTTCCATCAATTCAGTGATGTTTTAAAGATTCTAAAAAGCAATAAAAGGAAACATAGAAACGCCTCCCACCTGTTGATGTGGGTCACAATGTGACTCGGTTTTTCATACATTGCTCCATCTTTTTTCGATGTTCTCGTGAAGTTTGACCGCCATATATTGATTAGCGTGTATTTGGCAGCTGTTTGTTTGTGACGACAAAAGTTTGTCAGGTGATTTTAACCAGGAAAAAATTTTTAAAACGACTTTACTTGAAATTTTGTATTTCCAATGAAATCATGGAATTATTGAAAAGGATGCAGAAAACCACTTTCTCTCTCTTTTATCACGAAGAAAAGTATTTGAATGACACAAAGCTTTCAGTAAAGGTCGTAGAGTCATCGAAAGCTTGCCTCATGCTAATCGTGCTCCGCTGTTAACGACGAGAACATCAAAAATATTAAAGAAACAATGCTTGAAAATCATTGTGTTGACGCCAGAGAGATGGACCGACTTAACACCTTTTGGTAAATTTTTCGGGTATGAGTGTGTTAATGCTAGATTCGTACTAAAAACGACGTTGAGTAGAAAAAAAGAGATGCTTAACAACATGACGAAGAACTCTATATTCAACAAACGCATCATTAATGCCAACGTGACGAAGGTTTACGACTATGACATCGAAACTATCCAACAAGCTAGCGAATGGCACTTCAAAAATATGCCGAAACCAAAGAAGCAAAATTTGCTGAAAGGCTTAAGGTGATTCCAGCCGAAGCTTATAATAAGTGTATAGAAATTTAAAGCATATTTGGAAGGAGATAACAAAATTTTTATTAAAATATTTGAAATATAATTGTTTACCAGTTCGATTCAAATTTGATCATGAGCTTCAACTTTAAGCCAGACAAAATTTAATATAAGTGTGCGTTGTGTTTTCAAACCCTTATCTTAATTATAAAGAGACGACCTCCATTTTGATTTCCCCCAATA